TTCGTAAGTTCTGCGTACAATAAAAATGTAAACAAATAGATAAATGTATAGAGTTCTCTATAATATATGTCCATCTATTTTCATCACAGGGTAAGTTCATCCGCGTCCACTTCGCCCCCAACGGCAAGCTCTCTGGCGCTGACATCGAGGTCTACCTGCTTGAGAAGGCTCGTGTCATCTCCCAGTCCCCCGCCGAGCGAGGTTACCATATCTTCTATCAGCTGATGTGCGACCAGATCGATTACGTCAAAAGTAAGTTTATTACAATGAAAAATTTTATTTGCTAAAGAGGGATAAAAGTTTATTGACAAAATACTGATATTAATACTCTTTGTTAGAAATATGCTGCTTGTCTGACGACATTTACGACTATCACTACGAGTCCCAGGGTAAGGTCACCGTCCCATCTATCGACGACAAGGAGGACATGCAGTTTACTCATGTAGGTATATAATTACTAAATATGATGAAATATAATTTCTAACATAAATCTAACGAAAATTAGGGTTTATATGCAAATTCCTAAATTTCTTGTGTAGATTAATATATATGCGCACATGATACTGTATGTGTCGTAGCTATGTTGCTCTAACTTGCTTAAGTAATATAAAGATATAAGCTCTAAATCTAATCTCAGCACGTTCTATAAAACAGTATCATTTTCATATATACAAGGAAGCTTTCGATATCCTGAACTTCTCCAACGAAGAAAGGGATGACTGCTACAAGATCACTGCTTGTGTCATGCATCATGGGAACATGAAGTTCAAGCAGAGGGGTCGTGAGGAGCAGGCCGAACCCGATGGCACTGAGGTATGACTGCGTGAGAATGATAATTACAAGATGTCAAAAAAACAATTAGTAGCATAATTTGTTCCCAAATAATTATCGCACATTCCTCTCTACAGGCCGGAGAAATCGTTGCCAAGTTGCTCGGTGTAGATGCCGAGGAGCTCTACAGGAACTTCTGCAAGCCCAAGATCAAGGTCGGTGCTGAGTTCGTCACAAAGGGTATGAATGTTGACCAAGTGAACTACAACGTCGGTGCCATGGCCAAGGGTCTCTTCTCGCGTGTGTTCTCATGGCTCGTCAAGAAGTGTAACATGACACTCGAGACTGGCCAGACTCGTGCTATGTTCATCGGTGTGCTTGATATTGCTGGCTTTGAAATCTTCGATGTAAGTTTTGTGATTTGGCATAAGAAATATTCACTCTGATCACATGATATTCAATACACCTGTGTTATTATCGGCTTTGTTTTCTTCCACATTTTCCTCCTAGTTCAACGGTTTCGAGCAAATCTGTATCAACTTCTGTAATGAGAAATTGCAGCAGTTCTTCAACCATCACATGTTTGTGTTGGAGCAAGAAGAATATGCAAAAGAAGGCATTGTCTGGCAGTTCGTCGATTTCGGTATGGATTTGCAGGCTTGCATTGAGCTCTTCGAGAAGGTAAATTTACCGCAATAGATGTCACTTTCATATTAAAGTCAGCTCACTTTCTTACAAAATAGTCTTCACTGGCCTCGCTTTGAGTATTTCAAGATAACCTTTCCCTTTATCATTTTAGAAAATGGGTATCCTCTCCATCCTTGAGGAAGAGTCCATGTTCCCCAAGGCTACTGACAAGACCTTCGAGGAGAAGCTGAACAACAACCATCTCGGAAAGTCTCCTTGCTTCATCAAGCCCAAGCCTCCAAAGCCCGGCCAGCCTGACAACCACTTTGCCATCGTTCACTACGCTGGCACTGTGTCCTACAACCTGACTGGCTGGCTTGAGAAGAACAAGGATCCTCTCAACGACACCGTCGTCGACCAGCTCAAGAAAGCTTCCAATGCCCTTACAGTCGAAATCTTTGCTGACCATCCTGGCCAGTCAGGGGATGGGGGAGGCAAAGGTAGTTTTAAATTTTCTCTTTCACAACTTATTGTAGGCTTGGCGTTATGGAAAAGTACAATCGATGGGGAATATGCATGAGTTCAGTGGTTACCTCAATTGTTTCCTTGGTATCACTTATTTGCATTAGTTTTGTTGTCGGATTTATGTGTGTGCATATATATATATATATATATATATATATATATATATATATATATATACATATATATATTTATAGAGAGAGAGAGAGAGATACATATATATATATATATATAACATTTTGTCTGACAGGCAAGGGCGGCAAACAGCAAACTGGTTTCAAGACAGTTTCTTCTGGATACAAGGTGAAAAAACATGACTAAGCCTATGATGTTTTCGCTTATTTAGAAAGACATTTATATGAAAACGAAAACAGAATGTTGACCATATGACAAGTTTCATGGCCGATATTTTAAGAATATTGTTCTATCTACAGGATCAGCTAAACAACTTGATGAAAACCCTAAATGCTACCCACCCTCATTTTATTCGCTGCATTGTACCAAATGAGTTCAAGAAACCAGGTAAGTTGCATGAACGTAATACACTAGGATAAAATTGTTTATGTAGAAAAACATTCTA